AACCCTTCTCTAATTATTAAGGCCCCCTACATGAAACTGGAGAAGTCCTGGCTCCTGTTTCAGCTGGTTCAGGGTTTCTTTGGGGGCTTGGTCTTGAAGGTTTTTGGGTTTCGGGCCTTTAGGGCATAGGGACCTCAGGGACTTAGTAGGTTACAATCAGGGGTAGAACAAGCACTCCAGTCAAGACACTCAGCAGCCCCGATTGTCTTCTAGTAGTGTCACCCGAAACCTAAACCCTAAACCCTAAACCCTAAACCCTAAACCCTAAACCCTAAACCCTAAACCCTAAACCCTAAACCGAAACCCTAACCTCGATCCTTTAAGTGAGGAGCCAATCGAGTTCCGGGTGTGTGAACCTTCACTGCCGCACGGCGCCCTCCCGCATCACCTATATCATCTTCGCTCTAGCCAGTCCAGTCTAGTATAGGGGCCTGAATACTTACCTATACTCTTTTGGGGATTCCTTATTACATGATAATCGAATATGCCCCAAAACCTTATTCTAAGTATTAAGGCCCCTCCATTCGGTTTCGGTCAACGCCCCAAAGCCTCAAATCTTGTCGCTGAAGTTCTCAACCCTGAATTATTTTCCTACTTGGGTCGGAGGCCCAGTAACAAATAGAGCTTTGTTTGGGTTTTGATACTTATAACATCTTGATTTTGTATAAAAGGATTAACTACGTAATTACGAAGTCCCCCGACCCTCCAAGTAAAGACAGACGTGTCTTCATCCTTGCGCAGCAACTGGCTCCCTTAGCCATCCAAGGCAAGAATCCGTCCTCGGATGCAGCAGCCGAAGCCGCAGATTCCGCAAATGAATCTTGGCTTTGTGATTTAGGGTTTAGGGTTTAGGGTTTAGGGGCTTTGGGTCGTTTGGGCTCCTGAAGTATGCATACCACCTTAGTATTAAAAAGAGACCCCCCAGCCGAACGATTAGGACCCCCATGTTACGTGAGCTTGAAACCCCAAGCCCTGAACTTCAAACCCCAGACCCTAAATCCTGAACCCTA